CCTCTCTAATAAATAAAAGGAAAACACATTATATTTATATACATGTTGTATCTTTTTTTTAGTATTTGGAAATTGCCAGGCAACAAAAAAAATACCAAAACAAAATAGTCAGCACTGTGAGGTAGCGGGTAAAGCCAAGGCCCACAGTGACGCCACCCCATATGGGCGCCGGTTCGAGTACGGCCGCTCCACTTCCGATGCAGCTCTCTGCTGGGGTCTGGGAAGGCAGCAGAAGACACCCAAGTCCTTGTGCCTCTGCACCCATGAGGAGATCCCGGCGAGGCTCCTGGCTCCTGGCTTCAGATATTCTCAGCTCTGCCCATTGCAGCCAATTGGGTAGTGGACCAGCAGCTGGAAGACTTCTCTCCAAACACACTCCCTCCCTCCCTCCCTTCCTCCCTCAAGTCTGAATACAGACGTAGCATATGAGCCAGCCACTCCAGCTCTGGGAATGTACCCAAGGGAAATGAAATCAGCATACAAAAACAGAGTTCTCTCTGCCCCCATATTTACTACAGCTCAACTCACAAGAGCAAAGATATGCCATCAGCCAAAATGCCGATCACCTCAAGACTGAATAAAGACATTCTGGGCTATGGACACCATACATGCGTCTGCAGACTGCAGAGCCTGGCTATTGTGCATCCTACTGCAATAAGCATAGGCCTGTGAAAGCCTCTCTGTCTACACAATGATTTCGTTTCCTTCAATATGTTCCCAGTAGTGGGTACACCCATACAGTTTTCCATGTTGACAGGACCAATTTCACATGAGAAATTGTATTGCTCCACAGGTATATATTACAGAATACAGACATCGGATCCATAAACCCAATTTTGCCTTCAAACACTAGAACAGCAAAGTAAATCTGAAGAAACCGGAAGGAGGAAAATGATTCAAATGGAAATCAACCCAACAGCATAGAAAATATCACAAAAGACATTCACTGAGACCAAAATACAGTTCTTGAAAACTCAGTGAAACTGACAAAAGAGGAAACAGGGGGAAAAAGGAGAACAGACTCAAATGACATGACAACAGAAATGACAGAGAGGACATCACTACCAACCTTGCCAAAATAATAAACCAAAAATACTAGGGAAAAACCAGGCACGGGGATTTGGTCAACCTAGATAGAGTGGCTTGATTCTCAGAAAGACGCAAACCACTAAACCTGAATACAGTAAAACAAGAAACCCTGAATACACTTATAATTTGAAAAGAGACTGTAGTAGCAAGGAAACCGAAACAAACAAACAAAAAAACATGAAGAACTGAAGGAAAGTCCAGGACCAGATGGCTCCACAGGTGAGAACTCCCATTTAGAAGATAATTAAAATCCGTGATTCACAAACCCTTCCAAATAGGAGATGAAGAGGAAAACCCTGAATACACTTATAATTTCCAAAGACACTGTAGTAGCAGGGAAGCTGAAACAAATAAACCAAACAGACATGAACAAAGTCCAGGACCAGATAGATGGCTCCATTGGTGAGAACTCCCAAGGAAAAGATAATTAAAATCCGTGATTCACAAACCCTTCCAACAAGGAGATGAAGAGGAAAAGCCTTCCATTTCATTCCATCAGAGCAGCATTTTCCCAACATCCCAAACAAGCACACATCATCAAGAAAATGGCACACACATATCCGTCGTGAATGTGTCACATGCCTCAACAAAATATGACCAGAAGCCACCCAGAAGCACAACCAAAGCTTAGCACACTGTGCATAACTGAGAGTTACTCCGGGAATGCAAGGACCACTACCATCCAAAATCAATCAATCCCAGAACAGAATACACATGGGGAAAGCCCACAAAGTATCCCGACAGACACAGAAAACCTATTTCACAAAAAGGTCGACGACTTTTGCGAAACTAAAAAACGAATCATGAAATTAGGAACAAAAGGTACACCTCGGCCTGACAAGGCTTTTCATGAAAAACCCACAGAGCGCTAACATCACAGCCAATGCCAGGAACCCGAAACTGTCCTCCTAGACCAGGACACAGACATGCACTTTCGTTCTCCTTCCTCCTGACAACACTCACAGGTCTAGAGCAGGGAGGCTGGGCCCTCCAAAAGCAGACAGACAAGAACACAAGGCCGTTCCGGGAGGAGACCCAGCCACCTCTCCTCTCGCACAGCTGCTCGCACCCTGGGGACTCTTCGGACCGTCCGCACTGCACGACTGTGACCCCACCTGCACCTTCGGGACCCAAGAGCAACAGGCACGCCTGCAGCCAGGACGCCCAGCAGGAAACCGCAACAGCTGCGCATCACTCACCTCCAAGGGGGCCCAGTCTGCTGGGGGCACAGAGGTCCGTGAGGGTCGTTGCTTCCCGAAGGGGCCAAAGAAAAGCAATGCACCTGGGAAACGGTGCTGCAGCCTCGCACATACAGCCTCTCTGATGCTGGCCTGACCCTGGGGCCGCTGGGTCTCCCTCAGGCTCTGTCAGCAGCATCAAGTAGGGCTCCTCTCCCCACCACTTGCATGGGCTCTCGGGCAGGAGCAGATGCGGCGCTGACTCCCAGCGGAGCACCGCGGGGCAGTCGGAGCCAAGCGTGTGGGTGCACTTCCGGGTCATAGCACCAGGCGCAGGCGCACTCCACATGGGCTGTCACCATGGCACCCCAGGACGCATCTGCACACTGCTGCATCCAGCGTCCTAAGCCCCAGGGCCACTTCCACTCCAGCCTCTCCAGGCGGTGACCCAGGGACACAGACACTGAGAGCCCACGTTCTCTGGACCCCACCTCCATGTCTCATGGGCGTCCTAACTGCAGCTCCTGCCTCCTGACTCCTTCCTCCTGCCTCCTGACTCCTTCCTCCTGCCTCCTGCCTCCTGGCTTCTGCCTGGCCCAGCGCTGGCCATTCACTGGAGCCACTTGGGGAGAGAGGCAGTACAGGGGGCCTCACCAGCACTCTCTCACACTCTCTCTCTCTCTCCATGTGGAGGTTCACCCCCGAGCTGGCTACAAAGGCCGGGACTGGGACAGAAGCCAGTGGCTGAAGCAGAAGCCAGGGACTTTAGCCGCTGCTCCATTCTGGGTTCAGGGGCCTAAGTCCTTGGGCCGTCTCCTTCTGCTTTCCCAGGCCTGTAGCAGACAGCTGGATCCCACGGTGAACGGCTTGCGGGAGGGTCGGCACTGTGAGGTAGCGGGTAAAGCCAAGGCCCACAGTGACGCCACCCCATATGGGCGCCGGTTCGAGTACGGCCGCTCCACTTCCGATGCAGCTCTCTGCTGGGGTCTGGGAAGGCAGCAGAAGACACCCAAGTCCTTGTGCCTCTGCACCCATGAGGAGATCCCGGCGAGGCTCCTGGCTCCTGGCTTCAGATATTCTCAGCTCTGCCCATTGCAGCCAATTGGGTAGTGGACCAGCAGCTGTAAGACTTCTCTCCAAACACACACACACACTCCCTCCCTCCCTCCTTCTCTCCCTCCCTCCCTCCAGACCCCTCTGTGTGTAACTCTTACGTCAAATAAATAAATATGATCTTCAAGAAAAGTAAAAAAAAAAAAATTAAAAAGGAACCCATAGCTATAAATAAAAAACCACATCAAGGCCAATTCCTAGAGTTTCTTTTTGTTTTTAGAAATCGGTATTATTTACATTACCTACCCTATTAACCCAGAATTTGAAAAAGAGTTTAACTGGGTCTTAGAAGGGATTTTGGTACCCAGTCATTCTCTTCTTCCTTACAAACATTCTGCGTGGCATTATCTCTGACTTGTGCATGAGGAAATCTTTGGAATGTACTTATTCAGACACTTACGTACCCACGCACACAAGCACTTGAAACACCTGGGATCTACAGAGTTCTCCACGGAACACAGGTCTGCTTCCACTCACCGCCCCCCACAGTCTAGCCCTGCCTTTAAAGTATGGATCATGTTGGACACAGGCCAAATCGTGTCTCCCACAAAGCAAGAGAGAATACAGAAAGGTAGCATCGGAGGTCACTGCTGACATTTGCTACATGCACATTATCATGTAGCTACTTTTTCTCTCATTCCTCAATGTTAGATACAAATTGGGAGGGAGGAAGTCCAACTATCCCTATTTGCAGATGACATGATTCTCTATATAGGAGATCCTAAAGACTCCACTAAGAGACTATTGAAACTCAGAGTAGAGTGTGGTAAAGTGGCAGGGGAGAAAATCAGCAGCCTATTTGTATACACAGACAATGTCATGGCTGAGAAAGGACTTCAAAGACCAATCCTGTTCACATAGCTACAAAGAAAATAAAAGAGCTTGGAATAAATTGAACCAAGGGTGCTCAATATCTGAGAAACACAAAAGATTAAAGAAGGAAATGGAAGAGGACACCAAACAACAGCAACAACATATTGAGAAGCTTCTGCACTGCCAAAGAGACACTCAGCAAAATGAAGAGGCAAACTAACAGCTGCAAAGCATGCAGCTGATAAAGAATCAACTACCAGAAACTTTCCAGAAGCTCAACAACAGCAAAACAATCCACCCACTCCAGAAATGGGCAAGGGACTTCAACAAGCAAACTATTTCAAGAAAGGAAATCTTCATGGCCAACAAACACATGCAAACATGCTCAGGATCACTAGCCATCAGGGAAATGCAAATCAATATTACAATGGCCTTGAGGATGTGAGGGAAAAGGCACCCTAATCCACTGCTGGTGGGAATGTGAACTGGTATCACCACTGTGGAAGACAGTATGGAGATAAGTCAGAAATCTGAATACAGACATAGCATATGAGCCAGCCACTCCAGCTCTGGGAATGCACCCAAGGGAAATGAAATCAGCATACAAAAAAAGAGTTCTCTCTGCCCCCATATTTACTACAGCTCAACTCACAAGAGCAAAGTTATGCCATCAGCCAAAATGCCAATCCCCTCAAGACTGAATAAAGACATTATGGGCTATGGACACCATACATGCATCTGCAGACTGCACAGCCTGGCTACTGTGCATCCTCCTGCAATAAGCATAGGCCTGTGAAAGCCTCTCTGTCTACACAATGATTTCATTTCCTTCAATATGTTCCCAGTAGTGGGTACAGCCATACAGTTTTTCATGTTGACAGGACCAATTTCACATGAGAAATTGTATTGCTCTGCAGGTATATATTACAGAATACAGACATCGGATCTATAAATCCAGTTTTAACTACCTTAAACACTAGAACAGTAAAGTAAATTTAAGAAATTGGAAGGAGGAAAAGATGCAAACAGAAATCAACCCAACGGCATAGAAAATATCACAACAGACATTCAGTGAGACCAAAATACAGTTCTGGAAAACTTAGTGAAACTGACAAAACGTTTATCCTCAGGAAACAGAGGAAAAAAAGGAGAACAGACTCAAGTGACTTGACAACAGAAATGACAGAGAGGACATCACTACCAACCTTGCCAAAATAATAAACCAAAAATACTGGGGAAAAACCAAGGCACGGGGATTTGGTCAACCTAGATAGAGTGGCTTGATTCTCCAAAAGATGCAAACCACTAAAACTGAATACAGTGAAACAAGAAACTCTGAATACACTTATAATTTCCAAAGACACTGTAGTAGCAGGGAAACCAAAACAAACAAAAAAGACATGAAGAACATGAAGGAAAGTCCAGGACCAGATGGCTCCATTGGTGAGAACTCCCATTTAGAAGATAATTAAAATCCGTGATTCGCACACCCTTCCAAATAGAAGATGAAGAGGAAAAGCCTTCCATTTCATTCCATCAGACCAGCATTATCCCAACATCCCAAACAAGCACATCATAAAGAAAATGGCATATATATATATATTTATATATATATCCATCGTGAATGTGTCATATGCCTCAACAAAATATGACTAGACGCCATCCAGAAGCACAACCAAGGCTTAGCACATTGTGCGCAACTGAGAGTTACTCTGGAAATGCAAGGATGCCTACCATAAAAAATCAATCTTTCCCAGAACAGAAGTGGAGGATGGCCGAAGTCCTTGGGGCCCTGTACCCACCTGTGATACCAGGATGAAGCTCCTAGTTTCCTATCAGAGGACACCAAACAACAACAACAACAACAACAACAACAAATTGAGAATCTTCTGCACTGCCAAAGAGACACTCAGCAAAATGTAGAGGTCAACTAACAGTTGCAAAGCATGTATCTTTGGCCGTGCGGCCATCTGGGGAGTGAACCAGTGGATGGATGATCTCTCTCTCTCTGTCTCTACCTTTCTCTGTAACTCTGACTTTCAAATAAATAAGATAAATCTTTTTTAAAAAAAGGACAGTGCATAGCACTAGATTGTTCTTTCTCTTCTATCTTTAAGCAAGAGCAGTCTTTCTAATTGTTTCTATCAAGCAGTGATTGAAAACCAGTATCTACCTCACAGAGTTGGTGCGAGAGGGCACTTAACAACGTCCAGCACCAGAGACTCCCCCCATGCCTCCACAGCATCCAGCAGCCTGCTCTCTGCTGTACCTGTTGGTGGGACAGTGAACAGGAATCACAGGAAGAAAGAGCCCAGCACAACCTCCTACTGCAAAACAAACAGCAACACCTCATTCCAGAAGCCTGAGTTCGTGTGAGTCCTTGCCAAGGAGCAAATGGGGCCCACAGTTAAATGGAGTTAACTCCCCAGTTAAATGCTTCTGAGAGGGGCAGACTGAGAGCCACCGCAGGGTCAGCTCCCGCTTGCAGGAGGCCACAGATGACCCTCTGCCCCCGAGCCTGAAGCTTTCTGTAGACGAGGGCTTCACGGTGGCCTCGTGACTGCACAGGTGGAACTGCAAGTGATAATTCACAGCCTGCACCAAAATCCCCACGGTCCTTGGGTGTCCACCTTGCTCTCCCATGACCCTGGCCTGTTCTGCCTTTTTCTGTGCAAACAATCAGCATTGCGCTTCTGTTAACCATGATCAGCAAGGGGGGCCTCACACACACACACACACACACACACACACATGTCCTGTCCCACATAGGTGTGTGGCTCCCTCATTGCATTTACAAACCACAGGGTATCCAAAATGCTAGTTCTAATTTGCTTTTATTTCAAAAGCCAGAGGAAGGTGTTCCCACATGTGAGCCACAAACTGCCACTTCGTTCTCCACTTAGGATGGCAGAGGGAATGCCTGAGCCTCTCCCATGACAGATGCCAAGGCAAAGACACCACCAAGCAGGTCAGTATCGAACACTGAAGGTGCCACCAAAACCCACAGAGCTCAGATGTCCACTGGAAGCTTGTATGCTGTTCCTAGGCAATGACATTACACGTGGTACTGCCCCCTGCTGCTCACAAATAATCCCCACTGGGAGTCTGACTGCTGAGCCTGCCCAGGACCCCGGCACTGGGCACCACTCATTATGCCCAACTCCCTTCTGGGGGAGAACTCGGGATCTGTTTAACCACTGCCCACTGAGAGGAACATGCAGTGCAGAGGCACAGAGCACCGCACAAACCGAGAAAATCCACTGCATCTGATGCTTGAAGCCTGGTAAGACGTCCCCTTGACTTTCTCCATTGTTAACGCACCCAGTGCTAAGCCTGCTTGTGAACAACATAAAGAAATTGTGTTCTTAAGCACCAGCACAAGCCGAAGGAACTTCCTGATGGTTCATCAAACACTGCAGAGAGACAGCAAATTCTATGCAGGCTGCCGTGGACTGAACTGTCTGTCCCTCTAAAATCTAGGTGCTGAGGCCCTGGACCCCAAGGCGAGGGCATGAGGAGGCGAGGCCTTTGGGTGGTGGCGGGGTGGCTAAGCTCAGGAGGGTGGGGTCTCCCCCTGATAAGAAGAGGTAGAAACACCAGAGTTCCCTTCGGCCTCCTCCAAGTGAGGACACAGCGAGCGGGAAACACACTCTGCCAGCACCGTGGTCTCGGCCTTCCCAGTCTCCAGACGTGAGAAAGCAATTTCTTCTGCCTGAGCCACTTGTCCTGTGGTGCTCTGCTCCAGCAGCCCCAGCTGCCCAACACAGAGTAGCAGGAGAGACCCCAACAAGCTCCCTGATACAGGAAAGCAAATGGAATGGCCGTGCAGGGAGCTGAGCCACAGACGCGTGGATGAGAACTCTGAGATCTTCAACAACTCCCCAGAGAAGCTGGGGGCAATTCTGAGGGGGACATGCTCACAAGAAAGAACAGGAACACAACTTCAGAACCCACACACTCAGGGGAGAAGCAGAAGAAAGAGGACCCGTTCATGATCCACACCACAAGACACAAAGCCCTTTGCCTGTCACGGCCAAAACGCTGGGAACACAGGACAGAACGAGACAGGGTCCTTGTGCCACACACCTTCTAAAGGATGGCATCTGGCCTAGTGCTTAGGACACCCATGTCACACATCAGGGCTCAGGCTCCTGACTCCAGCTTCCTGCCAGGGCAGACCCTGGGAAGCAGTGGCAATGGCTCGAATAACTGGGTTCTTGCCACCAATGTCAGATACCTGGATTTAGTTCCTAATTCCTAGTTTCAGCCCTGGGGCCATTTTGGGCATTGTAGGAGTGAGCTAGAAAATGGGAGATCCCTCTCCTCTCTCTCTCTCTCTCTCTCTCTCTCTCTCTCTTTCTCTCTCTCTCAACCTCCTTTGCTTTTCAAATAAGATGAAAATAAATTAAAATTAAATGCCTGTGATAGTGATTTGTGCTAGAGACTTGATATCTATATATGTACACATTCACACATACATAAACACATATCCCAATAAGTAAATAAATTCTTAACCATAAGACCCAAAACTCTAAAACGACTAGAGGAATGCAGAGGGAAAGGTCCATGGCATTCATCTGAGCAGTAATTTCTTGGATGTGACCCCAAAGGCATGGGCGGCAAAAGCAAAAATTAGACATATGAGATTGCATACAAGAAAATCCTTCTCCAAGCAAAGGAAACAAGCAACAGAGTAGAGAACTGACGCACACACTGAGAGAATATTTGAAATCATTTATCAGGTGAGGGGCTACTATCTTAATACAAAGAACTCAAATGAATCAGTAACAAGAAAACATCCCCTGAATGGACACTTCTCGAAAGAAGACATACAAGTAACCATCTCCAATTATCAGAGAAATTAAATTAAATTAAATTTTAATTTGATTAAATATTTAAATAAATTTAATTTAATTTAAATCACAGCAGAGAGGCCAGTGTTGTGACACTGTGGGTAAGCTGCCACCTGAGATGCTACATCCCACCTGGGCACTGGTTTTTGTCCCACTCACTTCCCTTCCGATCCAGCTCTCTGCTAATGAGCTGGGAAAAGCAGTGGAGGACAGCCCACGTGTTTGGGCCCCTGCATCCAGGAGCTCCTGGCTCCTGGCTTTGGCCTGGCATAGCTTGGCCATTGCGGCCATCTGGGGAGCAAACCACCAGATGAAAGAGCCCTCTCTCTATCCCTCCCTCTCTCTTCCAACTCTAACTTTCAAATAAACATATAAATCTTTAAAATAGATAAATAAAAATAAAACCATATAAGACATCATGTCACTCCACCAGACTGGCTATTACCAAAAGACCCAGGCCACAGGTGCAGAAAGAGGGATCTAGCACACTTCTCAGGGGAACGTCAGTCAGTACAGCATTTTGAAAACAAGCACAGAGGGTCCCTAAAGGCTAAAAACAACTCAAGCTCTCCCACGACCGCACCAGCCCACATCCGGATTCATGTACATGTGCATGTAAGGTGTATATGTACATGTATGTCATGTGTGTATGTACATGTGTGTGATATCTGTGTGACATGTATGTGTGTGATGTGCATGTGTATATGTATGTGATATGTACATGTGAATATGTGTGTATGTGATATATACAAGAATACATATATGTATATGGCAGAGCCATGTCTTCACTTACATGTCCACTGCAGCACTGCTCACCACAGCCAAGACAATGGAAATGCATGAATGCCTCTTGGCAGGTGAATGGACAAGGAACAGCAGCTGCAACACACCCAGGAATACCCAGACCAAAAATACCCACAGGAGGGTCTGTCATTTACAGCATGTTCATGGAGATGAAAGTCACGCACTGTATACGAGGACTCTAAAGTCCTTAAAACACAGGATTGAAATGTTCTTACTGGGGCTGGTGTTACAGCACAGGTGGTTAAGTCACCGCCTGTGTCTCCAGCACCCCATGTGAACACCAGTTCATGTCTTGGCTACTCCACTTCTGATCCAGTTCTCTGCTAACATGCCTGGAAAAGGAGCAGGAGATGGCCCAAGCTTGGGCCCCTGACACACACACTGGAAACCTAGATGGTTTTCCAGGTTCCTGACTTCTGCCAGGCACAGTCCCAGCCATTGTGGCTACTTGGGGAGTGAACCAGCAGGTGGAAAATCTTTCTTCTCTCCCTCTCTGTGTGTTTGTGTGTGTGTGGGCATGCACATGTGTCCCTGTGTGTCTCCCTCATCCCATACCCATAACTGCCCTTCAAGTAAATAAATAAATCTTAAAAAAATAAAAGAAAGGGGAAGAAATACCAGAGAGCTGATCTGTCTCCACCCCATTAGAACACAGCAAGAAGATGGCCGCCCTCACCAGGACCCAACCATGCTAGCACCTGGGTCAGACTTGCAATGCTGAGAACCATCAGAAAATCAATGTCTGCGGTCAGGCCAGGCCAGGTGTGGGGTTTGTTACAGTAGCTTGAGCTAACACACCCCCAAGGCCTCCATAAGAGCATGTGACAACCTGACACAGCTAACCCGTGAACTCACGTCCCCACGCGGCCAGGCCTGGTGCTGCAGCAGATACAATTCCCATTGCCCCCAGCTCTGTCTCCTTACTGGCATCACCAGATGGGAGAACTCCATCATCACCACTGTGTGTCCCACCAAAACAGCAGGTACACTTGGGGGAAAAATCACAGCATTCCACTCCCTCAGGACAACCACCTAGCACATCAGGACAAGATGGTCAAGAGTGGGAATTGAGAAACTGTCTCTATAATGTGCCTGCAGTAAGCCACGCTGTTAACCAAGTGCAGGGGCAAGGTCTCGGTTGAGCGAGTCACATGACCGGTGGTGGGTGCCACAGAGAGCTGACTACAACACACACCTGGGAGCAGGTGAGCTCTCAGAAACGAGGGAGCCGCTTACCATCACTCAGGTCCTGCAGGAGACCCTCCTGGCAGGAGAAGTCCAGGCTCGCTTTGATGGTGACAGTGAAGGTGGCTGCTTGCCCAGGCTGCAGGGGGAACTGGGCAAGGGTTTCTTCCAGCTTCCAGCTCAGGAAGTTGCCGTACAGTTTCTCTGCAATGATAACAACAATAGTGATGTTGATGGTGATGGCAGAGCAGAGGCACAATGAGACTGACACCAACCCACCTGGGAAATTCTGGCACACACGCAAAAACAAAAGTGAGAACCATTCAAGATGTCAGAAAGCAAAGTCCTAGGAAAAGCCCTGAATCAGAAGAGGCCGTGAGGCACAAAGAGGAGGGAGAATGCATCACACCCAGGCACAGGCCCAAGGCCAGGCCACCGTCCCTCCTGGGGAGCCGCGGGATCTGCAGACGAAATGAAGGCCTGTGGCTCTGGCAAGTGAAGCTAAGTTTCTCCACCATGAACATTTTCTGTATTGTACTGCTGTGAGGGAAACAGACCCATGTTAAGCAGGGACACTGCTTCAGAGAAAGGAATCCAGAATTAGAAACACACAGCTAAGAGCAGAGCCTCAGGCAGGGCCAGCGAGGAAGCGGCCTTGGGCCTGGAGCACTGTGCAGAATGGTAAATCCTGAGCTGCGGTTTGTCTGCAGACAGCATGGGGGCGACAGACACTCCATCGGGGGCTGGTGCAGAAGCTGTGCATGGTGGCCAGCACCGCGGCTCACTAGGCTAATCCTCCGCCTTGCAGTGCCAGCACACCGGGTTCTAGTCCCGGTCGGGGTGCCGGATTCTGTCCCGGTTGCCCCTCTTCCAGGCCAGCTGTCTGCTGTGGCCAGGGAGTGCAGTGGAGGATGGCCCAAGTGCTTGGGCCCTGCACCCCATGGGAGACCAGAAGCACCTGGCTCCTGCCATCGGATCAGCGCGGTATGCTGGCCACGGCGGCCATTGGAGGGTGAACCAATGGCAAAGGAAGACCTTTCTCTCTGTCTCTCTCACTGTCCACTCTGCCTGTCAAAAAATAAAAAAAAAGAAGCTGTGCATGGTGACCTCTGCAGAGAACAGGGCAGGGGGCATCATCATTGCATTGGGGACTGGTGCAGAGGTTGCACACGGTGACCTCTGCAGAGAATGGAGTGGGGTCATCATCACTCACAGCAAGGCACCCTATGGAAGGACAGGAAGAGACACAGGGGACACCCAGTGTGGCCTGGGAAGTGGCCATCCCTCCTTCATTAGTAACTGGGAGTGAGATGTGAGACATCCAACCAGGGCCCAGTATTCTCTGCAGCCAGCACACCTGGGAAAACTGACAACCTCCAATGGCTGTGCCACAAGGTCAGCTTCCAACTCTGCTCCACTGAGAAGCTCCCAGCCCCCACTGCCCTCCTGCTCACAGGGGCAAGCACAGATGCCGCACAGCCCTGAGCAGTGAGGTCCAGTGTTCGGCCAGCCAGCAGAATGACACAGACACACCGAGCACATGCAGGGTGGGTCAGTCATGGCTCCTGGGCAGTGCACTGCAGAGCCTAGGGTCCAGGTATGCAGCACTAGGAAACCTTCCCAGAGAGACTTGAGGGGAGGAAGAGAAGCCAGCGATGGTTAGTAGGAGGAGGATTCTGGACCTGTGCTGTGTCCAGCACAATCTTGGTATGTGGCACAGCTTAATAGATGTCACGCTCAAAACCGCCTTCACACACTGGTTTTGTGGTCTGTCTCCTGTGTAGCCGCAGCACGTGGGGACTTCAGACATTCACAGCAGCCATCCTTAGTGGGCAAGGCACTGCCCTAGCCCACAAAGATCATTGAAGCCTGTGTGTATTCCTACTCTCCAGTCTGCACCGCAGCCCTGAGGTCCAAACTACCCTGGGACACCTGCTCTGGGTGCTGTAGAAGCTCCAGGTGAAAGTTATGCCATTCCTCCCGCACCACGGATGGGACCGAGACCCTCCAGCAACCCAGGAAGTCTATAAAGATATTACATGGATTTTAAGGAACTCTACTTTTTTGCTTTTTAGCCCGGTCAATCCATTCAGGAATGGAATGGATAAGAGATGCCAGGTGACAGAGAGCCAAGTGGACCCTGCTTACTAGGGCCAGTTCCAAGGCCCCAAGAACACAGGAAATGCAAGCTGACTGCCCCCGTGTCCTATGCATGAGCCACACCAGCAGCCACCCCCTTCCTAAGCACAGCCCATGTCAGACAAGACACCAAGGCCTTGCAAAACCTCACCTCCCAACATCCTCTCCAAGCTGTTTCTAGAGCACAGTCTGTGTAAATGGCAGCCACTATGTCAGCTGCCCGGTTCACACAGCCGGGGATGGGCAGGAAGCACGGGCAGGCTCTGAGCGAGCGCTCCTGCAGCAGGAGGAGCGCACACACTGAGGGGCCTCGGGAGGGCACTCTGGCCCACATGTCGCCAACTCTCCTCCAACAGCACAGCCTGTGCCTCTGTTGAGAGGGCCAGGCCCACTGTTGCCACAGAGGGGTCCCACTTGTCCTCCACAGCCCCACTCATGGGCTGCGTTCCTGTGGGCCTTGTCCCCCACACACATACACACAACCCTTCCATGCCCTGACAAGTAGGACACTATATCCAAGGGACTCATTCTCCTACCAATCAATCAATCAATGGATGGCACCAGCCCCCAAACACTGAGACCCAGCACCTGCCTGGAGAGGCAGGCACCATGAGGGTTAGGAGCACCAGCTTCAGGACAGGGCATCTCTCCTCACCTGCCAGCCCTGGCTGCGTGTCCTAAGTGAGCTACCAAACATCCGTGTCTGTCAGTTTAGCCATCTGTAAGATGGGCTGTCATGCCAGGTCAACAAGGTAATAGAAGCCAAGTGCTTAGAACACAGCATGGACTAGAACAGCACTTGGGCAGTGTTAATGATTTCTCCCACGCCTCAAAAACCCCTCTCTCCTTGTCCTAAGTGAGTAGTCCCTCCCCAAGGCCGTGTGAGGATGAGCTAGCCCTGCAGAGTGTGGGACCCCGGCCCAGCAGTCAGCAGGCGCACTCTAGCACTAGCTGCCACCAGATTTCTGCCCCTCCAGCCATGAACAGGACCTGTCACGGGGAAGCAGACACAAGTGACAATAGCGTGGGCCAAGTCACAGTGTTCGGTTTATAATTCAGTTTATAATTAGAACAGATGGAAACAAGTTACACGGAAAAAAAAAAAAAAACAGGATGCCAGACTGAACGTACAATGTAATTTCAAATGCATAAAAGTACTCAAGTAGAAAAAATGAAAACATATCTATACACTAATATTAGTTTGCTTGGAGTCATGGGATCATGGATAATTTCAAATGGTTTTGTATTTTTGAATTTTCTGCAATGAGCTTTTATCATGCTTTTATAAAGAAATACACACAAGGATACTTCAAGAAGTTCACAGAAAATAGAATTAAAGGGTAAGTTTATTTTGATGCCAAAAAAGATTAAAATGCTTGCATATGAGGGACCTTCAAATCATTCATGAGAAATGTACATTATGAATAAAGCATGCATGGATTTCAAAAACGTTTGGCACCAAATAAATTACTTTTAGTTCTGTTCTTCTATGAGCTTTGGGAAGTCCCCTTGAGCCTGCACACACACACACACACACACACACACACACACACTTGTATAAATCTGCGCTAATAGCTCTCTAAGTCTAGGCCCCTGCCCCCTTAACCTGGTTTCATGCAGGGAGAAGCCTGTGGGTCCTGGCTGAACATCCACATGCAAGACCACCACACCAAGGCCTGTGGCCCACCTGACAGAGAGGTGGGTTCTGAGCCAATGCAGATGCCTTCATGGTGCCCCACGCTGTGGCAGGGCAGTAATGTTTCCTGATGACAGGGGCAGCAAATCACAGGGACTGTGTGTCCCCAAGTCCCAGGCTTGTCTCAGCCAGCTGAATAAACTTCCCTGGGGCAGCAGATTAACTCTGTGGCAGCCATGTGCATTGGCAGGCAATCAGATGCCTACAAAGAATTTGGTCAGGCTAAGGACAAACTAGCCCACCCACACTAATTAGGTGAGCTCTGCCTCTCCATGCCACTACTGTGCTTACTTGGCAAGGCAGGGACCATCCGGAGGGACCATCCAGCAGGAACAGCCACAGGCAAGCAGGGCAGGAATTGGAGCAACTGCCTAGTTAGCAGCTTCCCAACAGAGACGCTCTATCCCAAGTCATAAAAGAACCAATTACAGCACAGAGATTTACAGCAATTTGCCCAAAGCCAAGCAGCTGGTAAGTCATGGAACCAGGAGTCAGCGCTTGCATGGCAATGGCCTCCTCCCACCTATCTGAGGCCCTGACCAGAGCCGGAGTGAACTCCAAAGTGGAGGCTTCATATAAGGGAACTTCATGGAGGGCATGCAGAAAACAACACGGAACACTCAAGTATGGGAGCTCTGGCATCTGCCCACCTGAGTGTGAAGCCCAGCTTTGCCCTTCAGCAGCTCTCGGGACAGGTAGGGCTGCAAGTTCTCTGTCAGCCAAGATGACCTGTCCTCAGAGGAGGTGGTAACAGAGTCAGCATGATGGTAACATGAAGCAATGCGAAGACTTAGCATAGCAACGCGGCACCCAGAAACTGCTGGGATGATGGATGAGAAAACCTGGGCCCCAGTGAGGTTTGCTTCTCACATTCCACATTCCCCATTTCACTCGTGCAAGGAGCATTCATTGCACAGCCACTGAGGAGCATCATGGCAGGCATGAGGCAAGGTTCTGAGGACAAAGAGACCAGGAAGATGTGACCCCTGCCCTCAAGAGGGGTCAGGGGAGAGGTCTCTGACTGCACAGCGGAAGCTGCCAACATACACCAGATGGAGATGAGGCTCCCATGAATCTGAATAATGTGTAAATATCACCACCACTGCATCATAGAGAACGGGGACAGTAACTGCCTGCTGAATTCACTGCCCACATCTGGGGGCCCAGAACTAAAGGAAGACTCATTGCCCAGTGGCTTGAACTGCTGGGTCCCAGACTTGGCAGCTGCCCATCTAGCCTATCAGAAATCCATAACTAGTGGGGCGGAGGGCTACATGTTACAACCAGCTACAGCACTCTCTTCACCTGTACAGAGGGCTTTTCCTTCCTCAAAAGTGCTTCACTGGAGAGATGAACTCTGGGACTGAGG